GCTGAATTTTGGGGTTCTAGATCACCGATTTTGGGGTTCTAGATCACCGATTTTGGGGTTCTATGTGCCGAATTTTGGGGTTCCAGATCACCAATTTTGGGGTTCTAAGTGCTGAATTTTGGGGTTCTAGATCACCGATTTTGGGGTTCTAGATCACCAATTTTGGGGTTCTAGGCTCCAAAATTCGGGGTTCTAGGCTCCGAATTTTGGGGTTCTAGGTGTCACATTTTGGGGTTCTAGGTGTCACATTTTGGGGTTCTAGATCACCAATTTTGGGGTTCTAAGTGCTGAATTTTGGGGTTCTAGACTCCAAAATTTGGGGTTCTAGATCACCAATTTTGGGGTTCTAGATCACCAATTTTGGGGTTCTAGATCACCAATTTTGGGGTTCTAGGTGCTGAATTTTGGGGTTCTAGATCACCAATTTTGGGGTTCCAGATCACGAATTTTGGGGTTCTATGTGCTGACTTTTGGGGTTCTAGATCGCGAATTTTGGGGTTCTAGGCTCCAAAGTTTGGGGTTCTAGATCACGAATTTTGGGGTTCTAGATCACCCATTTCGGGGTTCTAGATCACCGATTTTGGGGTTCTAGGTGTCACATTCTGGGGTTCTAGATCACCAATTTCGGGGTTCTAGGTGTCACATTCTGGGGTTCTAGATCACCAGTTTCGGGGTTCTAGGTTCCGAATTTTGGGGTTCTAGATCACTGATTTTGGGGTTCTGGGTTCCGTGTTTCGGGGTTCTAGGTGTCAGATTTTGGGGCTCCGGATCCGGGTTTTTGGGGTTCCGGATCCGGGTTTTTGAGGCTCCGGATCCGGGTTTTTGGGGTTCCGGATCCAGGTTTTTGGGGCTCCGGATCCGCGTTTTTGGGGTTCCGGGTCCGGGTTTTTGGGGTTCCGGATCCGCGTTTTTGGGGTTCCGGGTCCGGGTTTTTGGGGCTCCGGATCCGGGTTTTGGGGTTCTGGGTCCCGGGTTCCGGATCCGGTTGGGAGGCTCCGGGTTCCGGGTTTTCTGAGGGTTCCAGAGCCTGTTTTTGGGGTTTTTTGGGGTCCCCGATCCCATTTTTGGGGTTCCTGACCCCATTTTTGGGGTCCCCAGTCCCATTTTTGGGGTTCCTGACCCCATTTTTGGGGTCCCCAGTCCCATTTTTGGGGTTCCTGACCCCATTTTTGGGGTTCCCGATCCCATTTTTGGGGTTCCTGACCCCATTTTTGGGGTCCCCAGTCCCATTTTTGGGCTCCCAATGGGATTTTTTGGGGTCCCCGATCCCGATTTTGGGGTCCCAAATCCAATTTTTGGGTCCCCAAATCCCATTTTTGGGTTTTTTTTGGGGTCCCCAATCCCATTTTTGGGGTTTCCAATGGGATTTTTTGGGGTTCCGATCCCGTTTTTGGGGTCCCCAGTCCCATTTTTGGGGTCCCTGACCCCATTTTCGGGGTCCCCAGTCCCATTTTTTGGGGTCCCAAATCCAATTTTTGGGTCCCAGATCCCGTTTTTTGGGGTCCCCGATCCCATTTTTGGGTCCCAAATCCCGTTTTTTGGGGTCCCAAATCCAATTTTTGGGTCCCAAATCCCGTTTTTTGGGGTCCCCGATCCCATTTTTGGGTCCCAGATCCCGTTTTTTGGGGTCCCCGATCCCATTTTTGGGGTCCCCACCCCGTTTTTCCCCCCCCAGGTGTGGCAGGACCTGGCTGAGACCCTCGGGGGAGGGGTCCCGGAGGGTCCCCCCAGCGCCGCCTTTTCCCAGGTGAGAAATTCCAGGGGGGGAATTTTGGGGTTCCTCAGGGGGACCCCAACCCCCCCCAACCCCGAATTTGGGGTGAAACCCCCCAAAAAAACCCAAATCGCCCCAAATCCCCCCGCAGAAAACCAAAATTCCCCAAAATCCCCCCAAAATCCCCCAAAAAACACAAAAAAAACCCAAAATCCCCCCAAAATTCCCCAAAAAACCTCAAAATTCACCCAAAATTCCCCAAAAAACCTCAAAATTCACCCAAAATTCACCAAAATCCCCCCAAAACCCAAAAAACCCCCAAAATCCCCCCAAATCCCCCCAAAACCCCCAAAAACCCCAAAATTCCACAAAATTCCCCAAAATCCCCCCAAAAACACCAAAAAAACTCAAAAATTCACCCAAAATTCCCAAAAAAAACCCCAAATTCCCCAAAATCCCCCCAAAATTCCCCAAAAAAACCCAAAATTCCCAAAATCACCCCAAAAACCCCAGAATTCCCCCAAATCACCCCAAAATTCCCCCCAAAAAACCCAAAATTCCCCCAAAAACTGCAAAAAAACCCAAAATTCCCCAAAATTCCCAAAAATCCCCCCAAATCCCTCCAAAATTCCCCAAAATTCCCCAAAATTCCCCAAAATTCCCCAAAATTCCCTGAAAATTCCCCAAAATTCCCTGAAAATTCCCCA